ATGTTCTACAAGTTCTGTATAAATGTTAGGGTCTAAAGAGAATGACTTTGGATGAATGAAACATTCATTAAAATCCATCTTTGTTCGAAATAGTTGCTGGTTTACAGTTGTAATAGTAACTGTTCCACTAGCTTCTACTGCCTTCGTTATCATAGTGAATGGTTCATTCCATGGAACAAATTTATTTGTCGGTGGATTTGAATCTGAAGCAAATGCAACTTTAAGAGTTGGATTGAAAGCAATGATATCATTTACAGATATAGATGTGCATTGTAAGGCGTCGCTACTGAACTTTACTTTAAGCTGAATGTTTCCTGCAAAAGCTGGAATAAATCGAATAGCTTCTAATGGAAGGAATCTTCTAACAGGAATTCTTAAACGAAGCTTAAAATCAAATGATTTTCCTGCTGTAATTGGACCACTAACAATTTGTCCTGTTCTGCATGTTCCCGAATGACTCCATACATCTTCATGTCGAGTCTTTGAAAAACATCTACTTTCTTTATTTGTTCGGTAGTTTGTGAGTTTGAAGTTATATATGCTTCTTCTCTTGCGTTGTCTTGAGAATATACGATACGACCATTTGCAAGGATTTGATATCCAGCAACTGCATAGAAAGCGTCATCGAAACCAATCCAAAATCCTGGTGGGTTTGTTTTATTGGAACCTGAACCAATTTCTTTATCTACAATAAATTGACCTTCCATTTTATACGTAATGAATGTATTGTAAAGGTCCAACATATTTTCACCAGGAGGTGAGAGATTGAATGTTACCCATGTGTTATCTTTAGCAGTTCCAGGTTGTGATGGAATCTTTGCGTCAGAATATTTTCTATTAGTGTCACCAATTTGAACTGCATTGTCTATGATATCGAAATATGAGCGAATCTGATGAATATGCTCTGCTGGAGTAAATTCGTTTAACTGTTCGTTCTGCATGTATTTACTTCAGATAAAAATATCTATTTACTTCATTATTCTCACTCTTCTTCTTGGTATTCGTGGTGGAAGTTGTTTCTTGACATTTTCAATGAACTGTACATTCTCTTTTGTCTCAACTTCTTTCACTGGCGGGTCAGGGTTCTTTGACTCGGTTTGTTTTTCAATGAAATTCACGAACTTTGCAATAAGCTCTTGGTTCGTTATTGAAAGTACATCTGGCTTCTTTTCTTCTTGTTCTTTTGGTGGCTCAGTTTGAACAGAAGGTTTTATATGGGCTTCGTGGACTTCACCCTTGCCATGCACCTTAATGTTGTCGCTCTCTGCATTCGCTAATGGTACCTTTCTTTTTCTTACGTATATTTTACCATCTTTACTCTGACTTACGTAATAGAAAGGATGTTGTATTCCTCTTGCGTCATTTAATATAATAGACTCTCGCTCTGATTTTGACAAGCTCATTTTACATCGGTTAAAGTTTTAAGTTAGTTTTTTATCTACAGTCAAATGACTCAGACAAGTCATATGGACAAGACCCAAGGGGTCATAGATGTTGAAGCATTGAAGAAAGAAATTCGCGAGCAAATTTTATCCGAACTGAAGGAACAAAAACAAGAACAAAAGCCAGAGAGACCAAAGAGAAAACTTAGTGAAAAACAACTAGCTGCATTAGCTGCTGGAAGACAGAAGAACCCACGTTTGCTGGCGAAAAAAGCTAGAGAAGAAGCAAAAGCAAAGGAAGAACAAAAAGCAAAGGAAGCTGAAGCAAAGAAAGAGTAAATGGTTTATTTTTATCCAAACTAAATGTATAGACAAATACCTTTATCTGTTGCGTTCAGTAGTGAAAACCCTGACGTCAAAATAAAGGGGAACAGAGTAACGTTTAAGTTTCCAACAGACTGGATTGTGAACATAAATGAAGAGAAGTACATTGGCATAACATCTATGTATATAACACGTGCTTTCAGAAAGGTTGACTTTATACTTCAAGTCGAGATAGAAAATGACGAACAGTCTTTAAGCGCCCAAAACATTCACATATACAAATACTTTAAAGACGATACAACATTGTTGCAATGTATGATTTCATTTAATGAGATGTTCGAGAAAAAGTTCAACATTGAAGTACAAACTTTACAGCCTTTACGTGAGTTTCTTGCACAACTGAAGGAAGAAGGTAGTCAGCCACAACTTATAGACTTTCATTATGAATTTAATGAAAATGAAGATGGAACACATGACTGTCAATTCATTGTATTCTCACCATTCAATGAAGTCGCTAAAAAGAAAGAAAATCCATTACGTATAAGATTTCAAATCTCCGAACCAAGTGATGATTTTAAGAATGTTTTCAATTATGATGCAATGCTTCCGAGGAAAAATGAATTTTCAAAGATTGTAACACCTGGCATTTGGGATAGAAAGCAAGCAATACTTTACTCTAATATAGCCAAAGGCGTTGAAAATGAGTTCATTGGTCATACAAGAACTTCACCACTTCCTAACCCTAAATACTATAAATTAACTGGCTTCAATCGTGAGTTTTGGATAGACATGTTCTCCACTCATGACCATAAATGTCCAGTGTTCTTGCCTCCAGATGGGAAGGACTGTCTCTACATTGAAGCACAACTCTTAAACTCTACCATCGCAGTATTGTAAAATCTACGCTAGCTTTATTTTTATCACGAATGACCTCATTGCTGACAAAAATAAGCCGCTAGCGGCAAGGCGAAGCCCATGACCTCATTCATGACCTCATTGCTGACAAAAATAAGCCGCTAGCGGCAAGGGCGAAGCCCATGACCTCAGAACTTCAACTTACGAATAAAGCTTGTTTTAGTCGTTATTGAAAAGTTGAACTTTTCAGCAAAGCAAGGTTGACATGACTTACATAAGTCGAATGCAATCTCTTGACCATCATAAAGTGCTTTGTAAAGTTTCATTAAACTGAACTCAGAGTCTTTGTCATATGTTCCAACAGGTATGTGAATGTTCTTATCTTCATTGTAATAGCATTGTATAGCTTCAGGAAACATTTCATTAGCGGTTAAAGCAATAACATCTTGCTTCACGCCTTTCATTCTGCAGTGAAATGCAACTTCATTTAAATCGTTAGTGAGTAAGTCTATGTAGGTCTTCTTTCCACAGAAAATACTTTTATAAGCTAAACTTTGTTTTCCAGGTGTTATTTCTGCAAAGTCGCTATGAAATTGACCAAGGTTCTTTCCTATAAGTTCGCGACCATATCTCTTCTTAAACTCTGCTGCAAGCTTTGGTATGTCTTCATTATATAAGTGCATACTGTCGGTATCCTGGTAAAAGATTTGAAGACCCATATCTTCAGCAGTACAGAATACTTCATTCATAATACGTTTTGACATAGACAGAATATTAACACCAAGTGGACAGAAGTTAAAGTGTCTGCAAATGCTTTTCGTTAGCTTGAAAATAGTTTTATCTGAACCATCCAAACCTTCGAACTTCACTATATGGTTGTAATTTCTTATAGCATATCTTATAGCATCTTTGTCATTTACTATGGTTATTTTTGACTCAATAGGAGATAGAATAGTTTTGCCATAAATGCTGTTCAGAATGAGTTTTATAATTTCTTGTAAGGGGTTTCCTTCTTTCTTATACTTTAACCTTAACTCAAACAACTTCTTTACTTCATCTCTTATTCTCATATCTCTGTTTCCATCGTAATAGTATCCTTGCAACACTTCACATTTGACACATTGATATTTTATGAGGTCTTGTAATGTTATATGGTCAACATACATGAGACAGCAAGTGTTTGAACTTCTTGGAACGTTAAGTTCTGGATTTAGTTCAGGGTCGCAAACTATTAAATGAAAGTGTCTGGGTATACCAATCTCTGTTATCTTAATGAGAACAAAGAAGCCAGACATAAACTTTTCACCAATGGGTTCCTTTTGGTCATCATCGAATAAATGTCTCATGAGATACTCTGTGCTTAACATTTCTTCCTTCAATACTTTTGGAATACCTTCTAAAGTATAAAGTCTTGCTATAGCTGAAGGATATAATGAAACAGTGTCGAAGTCAGCAATGAGTTTCTTTTTGCTCTTTTGTTTCATGTTATCTGACAACATACATCTTCCACCTTGAATGCATCTCGAAATAAATTCTCTTGGTTTATTTGAGAGGTCATAAAGATTTCCATTCGGGAAGTATACTCTGTTCTCAAACAATTTGTTAGCAATAGAACAAATACTAACGTAGTCATAAACGTTTAAATCAAACTCTTTCAATAAGTCATTGCGGAACTTTACAAAACCTTCTCTTAAAATTCTTACATCTTGTTTGCAGTAAAACGTGCTATATTTTTCTAAGTCGAAGTGGTTTTCATCTATTCTGCAACCTTTGATGGAATCTATGTTTTTCATGAATGTATCTGCATCATGGATAAACTTACATGCTTCAGAAATGACACCAGTTCTGTTGTCATTTGCTAACAAAACACTGCTGTAGTAGTTATATGGAAATACTTCTTTCGGTCCTGTTTGTAAGTTAAACATAGCAGGAAATAGTTTAAGCTTCTTATTTATAACACTGTAAGAGTCTTTTATAATAATTGCCCGTCCTTTATATAAACCAGTTATTTGCATTGTTCGTGAACCTTTAATGATGGGAGTTCCTTTCACTTCTGTCATGTGTCTTAAGATGAAGTTTATGTCATAACTGAGGTTGTGGAAATATATTAAACTCTTGTCAGGAAGTCTTTCCAAAAATTCTGTTGCACAGTTTTGACCCCAAATGCTTTCACTCACTGAACCATCTTCACTGTCATAACAGATGTTAAAAGCTTTATGAAAGCCATCTGTACTACACTCAAAGTCAGCAAAGAAAACGTGCTCAGGAATGAATTTACATTTAGCTTTATTTACTTCTTTTGACTCTGCTTTCTTCTTCAGTTGTACACAATACTTTGGAGCATATGTCAAATCTTTAAATGGTGCAAGGTTCTGTTTATATAAGTCAGTAGTATATGTGAAAAGTTCTCCATAAGAAATAGGTTCGAAATATTTGCACTCCCACAATGTTTTCATAACATCCCATAGCGGTGTTGTTCTATCATAACGAACTACATATTTATCTTCTCTCTTTGTATAAATCTTCATCTGTTTCTCAATGTTCATTCCACCACACTCCTTCAAGATTTCTATATAGTTTCGAATGAAGTATGTTGTCATTGGTAATCTTTCATTTAGCATGTAGTGGTCTTCAACAAGAAGTAAGTCAATAGTTCTAACAGTTTCGCATTCTTTTGGTATATATCTCTTTATTTCATTATGTCTTGAGTCATTGAAATAACCAATGGTAACATTAAATGCTATACCTGTTGAATCGGAAATTTCTTGTACTTTACTTTGAGGAAAGTCTCTAACACGAATGACTTCTCTCATGTGGTCAATAGTTTCTTCATTTACTCCAGCCTGAATGCAAGCATAAACGAAACAATTGTCCTCTGTCATAAGTGTTGCAGTTCTTTTGTTCAGTTCATTGAAGATTTGGTAGCGTTCAAGATTTATAGGTAATGTGCAAAGATACTTCCAGAACTGACCGCTTCTCTTCTTATAAAACTTCTTTTCACCATTATCTTTCCAAAAGCTTTCTATAAGTGCTGGGTTTCCTGTTTGCTTAAGAGCTTCCAAAATGGCTTTCTGGTCATTTGTCAGTGTGCTTTCATCTCTATATGGTCTCTTTTTTGGTTTGCCTTTCTTTACATCTGACATCGTTAAGCCTTCATATTCTGTTAAATCATACATCTTTATTTCGTAAGATTCTTTATGTTTGTCAAGAAGAAGTCATAGTGCATTTCAACAATACCTGCAGCATTTGCTTCTATCTCTGATATAAAGTTCTCCTTCAAGAGCTGATGTAGTAATGTTCCAATATTATTGAGGTTTAACGTAGAACATTCATACTTTCCACCAAGTTTATAACATACCATCCATCTCTGTTGCGAGTTTATTTTAATTTTCTCTAAGAGTCTCATGAAAACCTTACCGAAATGTTTGTGTAAGTAGTCTCTGTTTGGTTCATCTAAAGCTTCGATGTTAAAGTCAATGAGTCTATTGCCTGACTTCACATTTCTCTTCCTATTCTCTTCATCTTTCTTTAACCATCTCTCACCTTCTTTTGGTTTGTCGTCAATGGAACGAATGACATCGTTAGCTTTGCGAACTTGTTCTATAGCACTTTTAAACATCTCTCTTCTCTGTTGTTTCAGTGTGTCATCTCTCTTTCGTGTTTCACCAACGTTTGCATCTTTGTTTGTTATGTCAAACATCTCTCTTCTTACTTCATGAGGTACAGCTCTTCTTGTTTCACCAACGTTTGCATTTGTTATGTCAAACATCTCTCTTCTTACTTCATGAGGTACTGAACGTCTATGATATAAGTCAATAGCAATGTCATTTAAAGGAAATGCTCTTGCATGGACTTCGTCCTCGCCGCGTTGCGGCTTTATGAACTCATGAATTCTATCATAACTTATTGCACCATTATAGTCTTTAATGAAGTCAGCGAGTGCTTTTTTGTTTGTTGCGTAATGCTTTGCAACATCTATATTAGCTTCTGTAAGAAGTTGTTTTATTTCCGAGTGTTCTAACTTAGACAACTTCCGATACATCTTTAGTAGGAAATAAAAAAATATTTTTTGAAAAAATTAGATTAGATTTTTTTTAAGTTATTTTTCAAAATAATTTAATATTTTTATTTTAATGAAACACATGCAAGATTGCAAGTTCTTTTCATACAATGCTCTCGCTACTGCCATCAAGAATGAGTTCAATAATGCTTCAAACGTTAATGTTATCTTTAACAAGAAGTTTGTGAAAGAATCTAAGTTTGGTCAGTATGTCAGACCATTAGCTATCGTCATTGACCGCAAACGTTATACTTCACAAGAGTTAGCAGTAGTTTTGAAACAAAAGGGTTTCTTCGTGAATGTCAAAGATACACACTATACTGTCATAAAGAACTCCAACATTGACTTCTTCAGTATTGCTATGAATCTTTCCGAACAGAAAGAATATAAGAAGGGTGAAACATCTGTGAAATATTATCCTTCATCTCTGAAGACAATAACGAACAAAGATGTTATACAAAAGTTCTTACCAAAGGTTGAAGAAGCTTCAATTGACATTGACGAAGGAAGTGAAATGGTTGAAGAAATTGACCCTGAAGCTATTTAACCAAAAATATATTTTTGGTGAAGAGGTGAGATCACCTGTTTTTTCACCTCATTCTCTCTTCGTTAATGTTGTCGTGACTTCTTCGTTAATGTTGTCGTGACTTCATTCTTCCTCTTTGAAGTTATCGAAATATTCTGTTATTTTTTCCTTCAGTAATGTTAAGTCTTCTTTGAAGGTAAGTATTGTGCAACCTTTGATGTCATAGTGTGTTTGAGGAAGAGTATTTTTGACAATTTCTTTTATTTGCTCATTCGGTGTCATTGAAATCGGTAAGTTTTCACGATAGAACCAGTTTCTGTCAGATTTATATATTTTAGCAAGGTCGTAAAAGCTTTTGTTGTTTCTTCTGACTAAATGCAACATAACCATATCTCTATCTTCTTCTTTCTCCAACTCTTCAGTATAAATCATATACTTATAACTCTTTTCCTTTCCTTTTGGTACTGAACGTGGTATTCTTTTCTGTATGCTTTTGTCTTTGGATTCAATGACTTCATCTTTTGCTTGAAGTTTCTTTTCCATCTCTCCACGTTCTGCTTTATATAGTTCATCTAACATCATGAAAATATAACAAGCATAACGAGGTGAAGCCCACATTGCTACAGCATTTACTAAAAGTCTATGAACATAATAACCTTTCAAACCAGGTGCCAAATTCTTGCGATTTTCGTACGGAATCTCTTCCCTCGGTTTTCCGAGGGAAGCAAATCATATGAGGAAATTCTTCTAAAAGTTCTTTTGCCTGTTGGTTTTCAAACCAATGATATGCTTGCTTTGTAGAACGAAGAGCGTTCATTATACTTTGCATTTGATACATATCATCTTTGACTGAACGAATGAGTCTCAATTGTTTGTTATATTGTATGTATTCGTATTCTTCATTTATGGCTTCATGAACGATAGCAGTTGTTGTGTTCTCTAATGTTGACATTTCTGTTCTTACATACAGGATAAAAAAATAAATAAAATAAAAACTAACTTTATTTTTTTCTGAGATAAACACTATTTCTTCACACCATTAAATTTTATCCTGTATGAAATGACTTTAAAAAGATTATTGACTGACTTCGAATACTATCTCATTGACGCACTGACAGACCCTCAAAACTGTGTTGAAAGTTCTTTAAGCTTTAAGATTGAAGGTACGACGCATTTTGTCTTCACTTACGTATTGAAAGAATATGACCGTTATCATAACGAAGTGAATCAAACACTAATAAAATTTGTAGATAAAAAATTGGTTAACAATGAATATTTTAAACGTGAAGACCCAAACACTGCTGGAGATGATGAAGAATACAGACAAGTTATTTGAAAAAAATAACGCAAGATTAGATGCAATAGAAAAGAAGTTTAATGAATGTCTTACAAACACGTATGAATATCTTATGCAGTGGGAAGCCAGATGGAAATAAATTTACGTCAAATATGCAATTTATAAATCTTATGTCGACAGGCTACGTAGCACAGTGGTCTAAGGTGGTGTTATGGAGGGGTCAAGGTCTGTGGTTCGACCGCGACAGCGCCGTATTTTCTTATTTTCTTTATTTGTCTTGTTTGTCGTGAATAAAAAGTATCATAAAAGTGCTCTATCTTCCACGGGAATAAATAAAAAATTTACTTTATTTCTTCTTTATTTCTTTGTTCCGTGGAAGAAGGGTTTTGCTGTTTTTTCTCAGCCGAAATCAATGATTTTTTCATTTTTGGAATCCTTAGCGAATGAGGAATCTTTTCTCTCGTGGAAGCTTTGACCTAAAATAAGCCGCTAGCGGCAAGGGCGAAGCCCATAATTTAGGTGAAGAGACCCAAAGGGTCAGAGCCGCAAAGCGGCTAGGTGAGATATCACCTGTTTTTTCACCTCTTTTTTCACCCTCGTGACTTTGTCATAACTTCTTCGTAAATGCTTTGTCATAACTTCTTCGTAAATGCTTTGTCATAACTTCTTCGTAAATGAGTGTAAATGACCAAAAATATATTATAGGTGAAGAGACCCAAAGGGTCTTGAATTTTCATGAATTTCCTTAAGATAGAAAAATAACGTTAGTTTTATTTTTATTTATTTTTTTTATTTTGTATGTAAAGATAGATTTCAACAATCGGCACAACAACATTCAAGCCGCGAACGGCGGGACTCTGTCCACAACAACTTCACCAAACTCGTTAGTCATGAATCCAACATCTATGTTAGTAGAGATGAAAAGCTTCATTCCTTCTTCATATACTTTCGAAACAAAAATCCAGAAGATAAAGCAAGAACTTTTAACAAGTAATTTAGACTGTAGTGCGAAAGATGAAACAAATGAACAGTATCTTTATGAAATGCAGGACATTATTGACCATTTACCTAAACTACCTGAAATTCAGCATCAAAAACTAACTATTCCTGAATTCGATGAAATAGAAGTGAAACCAACTGACTCAGTAGAAATAAAGAAGTTCATTCGAAAGGTAAACTATGAGTTTCTAGGATTTCATTGCAACCATAAGGTTATGGACAAAGATTGCGACATGGTATATAAGAATGTTTCTGACATATATAAATCCGGGGAGTTTAAGACCTACGATAACTTTGTTTCGTTAGTTGCTGAATGTGTATGGCAGATAAGAGATAAAGATAGAAGAGGTAAAATATGGAACGAACAGATAAGACCAACTGCTTTTGAGTTAAAGAAAACCATTGACGCCTTAGTTGTTTTAGCAGGTAGGTTTCAGAATATAACGCAAAAATGAATCCGCAATGTTCTAAATGTAAAGCAGCAATTAGGAAATATAACTACTCCGTCAAAGAGATAGAAAGAATGCGAAACGACTATGCAGACTTAAAGAAAGAAGCAGAAAAGCCAGCAGAAAATAAAATGGACATGTTAGCATTTCTGAACAAAAACTATCCAACTGCTGACGATTTCCTTCTATCTGACGTCAAGAAGAAATATAAAGAAACTTTCGGCATTGTTAAAACTTTTGACATACTGACAGAAGAAATAGAAGCTACGAAATTGTTTAGGATTTCAAATATACATCGTACAATTCATGTAAAACGCTTGTGAAAAACTGGGGTGAGAAAACAGGTGAGAAAACGGGTGACATCTCACCTAGCCGCTTTGCGGCTCTGACCCTTTGGGTCTCTTCACCTAAATTATATTTTTGGTGTAAATTTATGACAAAAATAAATGGTACCATTAATGATATCATGACTGTTCTCATTCATGTCTGATTTACATCCAACGAAAAAGTTTAGAAGAATTTTCTTATTCTTTCTGGCATGTTTTTATCTTTCCAGTACTCCCGCTCTAATGGTCCCAGATGAGTTGGTTTAGATTCTCTCAAGTTCTTAGATGGTATAACATCTTCAACGCCTCCTTCATATCTTACTTTATAAGTGTCATCGTTTGTGTTGTAGTCAAGTATTTCAATAACCACTCCTCGCTTTGCTTCGTCAATGGTTTCAGCAAGTTTGCCATTACTACTTTCGACTAATTTATGACGAGGGTAAAATGCTATGGAGTCGTCAGCAGCTTTTATAAGATATCCATTACCTTGCGTAGAGTCTACGATATAATAATTTCGACTTAACCTTAAACGTTTCTTTGTCAACGGTTTGTCGTCAAGAACTACACGAACTTTTGTTCCAGGAATGAGGGTAAATTGTTTTGAATTTCTGATATTTTGTGTTTGGCTTCGTTTCTTTTGTATATACTTTTCTTCTTGTTGTTGTGTCATTGAATTTGGTGTATGTCCTGTTGTAGAATGTGTTGAGGAATTATATACTTCGAGAAAATGTTTCATTGTTTCTTCGGTAAAGTCTCGCTCTTGATTTAAATCTCTGAGCGTTCTTATGAAGCGGTTTATGATGCCGAGTATGTTATGGTTATGGTCTTCAGTAGTGTAGTGAGTTATGTTATGCTTAATGAGAAATTCTGTGATTTCGTTGCTGAGGTATGCACTGTCTTGGTCTGATGTTAAAGTACTTGGGTTATGTTCTGCTACAAACTTTTGTAAAACTCTTAACACTTCACGAGTTCCTTTATTTCTCATTATATACGCATATGCTTTACGAGTGTTAACATTTATGAAGATGAGGAATGGTTTATGTCCTCCTTTTCTGCTTTGAATGAGAGTGTCAAATTGGTATGCGTCAGGAGTGTTGGAGTAAATTGGTAAAAAGTAGTCGTAAGGATTTATTTTTGTTTGATGTACAACATTTTTGTCAAAGAACCTTTTCACTTCAGCTCTGTTAGTAAATCCCGAACTCTTTGCAGCTTCATTGAACTTCTTAAATGACCTCCATGGATGTTGTTCGAATACTTCTTTCAAGCTCATTTATGTAAAGTTAAAGATTTTAACCAACTCGTATCCAAGCGTGCATTGTTATATAAGGAGGCATATAATCTTTTCCATTACCTGCTGGGTCTGTAATACCAGCTACAACATGTGTATGATTTCCTGCAGTTCCACAGAAAATACCTGTGCTAACATCTTTGGGGTCAGTTGTGATATCATATCTATGCATTCCCTGTCTATCCGAACCCGCTGCAAGATTTGTATAACCTCTTTTTGTTATTGAATGTGAATGGTTTCCTTCCACAGATGTTCTTCCACTGAACCTATGCATATGTGAAGGAAGGTTTTCAATACCTATTTTCTTTGAACCTCCCATCTTCATTGACTGCGTATTAGTGTAGAATGGAAAACTGTCAACTATTTCATACCATCTACCACCAAATAAAGTGTTTGGATTTTATTGGATTCATAGACGTATAAACAGCTCCTATAGGATATATTAAATCATATATGCTCATAACTCTATAAACATATTCTAAAGAACTTATGTCATTAAATACCATTTGGAATGTATCTCCCGGATGAAATGTTGCATTTGTTCCACTTTTATAATGTAATGTTAGTTCAATAGAATTATCCAAGAAAAATTCAAAAGTATCTGGTTGAAGACCTCTAACAAATTCAAATGGAGTTGCTGGTTCACCATTTATAATTTCTGTTGTAAATGTCATTGTATCTGGTTTCGAAAATTTCTTTGTTAGTTCTGCATCCACATAAGTTTTATCTGCTTTCTTGTCATATAAATCTTGAGCAGTGAATTTAATATTATGTTCATCCTTCATGACATAAACATCTTTACATCTAATGTTTCTCATCGTCGTTATGTCGTCATCCGATGTTAAACCTTGTGGAAAGTTAGGAGGTTTACAATATAATACATCCCCACCAGTTTCTTCAACCGTTCCTTCAATACTTTCTATAGCAACAGTTGTGAAATTTATGTGTATGGTTCTTGTCTGCTTTCTTATCTAACATTGCTGGTAGTTCATGTGCTTCAAAGTTTCTGGCATGACTTCGTATTCCTGCAACTGTTATCTAAACTGTTAAGAGTATCTTTTACGCTTGTACTTGGATTTTCTAATGGTGCACTTGAACCAAGGTCAAAGTTCAATATTATGTCGTCTGCTCTAACAGTAGTGAAGGATTTATGTGTATGGTTCTTGTCAGCTTTACTGTCTAAAGAAGTTTGAAGTTCATTTATATCGGAGATGTTGTGTTTATGAGATTTCAAAACTTTGTTCGTTGCGTCAAGTTCAACTTTGTCAGCTTTACTTTTAATAGCATCTTCAAACGTTATTTTTGCCTTAACTCTCAACGTAAATCTTGGTTCAACTAATACACCATTAACAGAAAGTAGAGGCATAAATTTCATCGTTATAACAAATGCTTCTGGTGCTTTACCTGTGTCATACTGTACAGTACAGCTTATGTCATAACCTTTAGCACGAATGTATTTATATCTTCTTTCATTAACATTTTTTGTCTTCGCTTCATCACTTCGTGTTAAATATCCATGGTAGTCCGTTATAATCTGTTCGTCTGAAGTTATATAATGAACGTGGTTTTTATCTGCTTTTTCGGCTAATTTCTCATTAACATCATTCACTTCTAATTCAACTCTTCCGCCAGAACTCTTATTATCATTAATCTTTTTCATTAATTCGGTAATTACGTCATAAAGACTATATTCTGTTTTCGGTTTTGTAAATAATGAGTCAAAATTTCTTTTCATCATTACATCGCTGACATTAATGATATCACCAATTCCTTTTTCATTTATTCTCTTCATTAATTCTGCAATAATGACGAATATATAATCTGTTAATTTATTCTCTTCATCGAGGGTTATAGAATGTTTTGAAATTGAATCATTAACTCCTCTAAATAAATCAATAACTTCAGGATACACGTTTTTAATGTCTTGAATAACCCGACCAGTATCCTCGCCACTATGTGGCTCTGAGCCCGTTGGGCTCTGTTGTTCATGTTCTTCGTTCCCGTCGTTACGTGGTTTTATATCTCTAACCATCATCAACGCAGCCATAACCGGAGGGTTTGTTGCTACCTGTTCGAAAATCCGTCCGTTATGTATGGTATATCTAAATAATTTCTTTGTGTTTGTTAAAACATTTGAAACAAGTCTTTTAAAACCATCTACAAAATTTCCTGTTTCACCTAATGTTCTTGCAGCATTTACAAGCTCACCCATTCCCGCTTTTGACCCCAAAAACGTCCATATTGCATTTATTTCACTCTGTATAGTTGTCCATTCAGCGAAACTAACACCCGCATTCGCTAAGCTGAAAATGAAATTCAGTGGATCGAACTTAATTCCACCTTCTTTTTCAATTTCAACGAACTCACTAACATGAGATTTTAAATATTCTTTCGTTAAAATTGTTTTCCCCGATGTTATGTCATTAACGAAACTATCACCGTCAAAAGTTAACGAATTCAATTTCGTCGTTGATGCTTTTATTTCATACACCGCTTTATCGATAGTTTTTGGCTCACCTTCTTTAGAAGCATATGAAACATTAATGAATGAATTATATGTATTCGTGAATGAGTTAAAATCAATGATTTTCATTAATGACGCCTTTAATGATTCATTAACTGTTGAATCCCTTAAAACAATTAATGAACTGTCCTTTATGAAAGGTACACTGCAAACCGTCGAGTTTGGATCAAATGCTGTAGTTGGTGCAGGAATATTAATGATATAAGTCATTAAATCATTAAGTGACGTAAATAATGTTGTCGTTTTTGATTTAATTTCTTTAGCATCTGTTATATATGGTAATTTTATTTCTGTAGTTTCTGAATTAAAGATATTCGCTAAAATGTTTTGTAAACTGTTTTGAACAGCTGTGTAAACCGTTGAATCGGAACTCTTACGATTTCACCATCCTTAATAAAAGGCATTGTACATGACGTAGTGCTTGGGTCAAATCTTTCGGGATTATAATTCAACATATATTCTAACGCTTCATATACAGACCTATAACAGTTGTGTCGTTCTTCATGACAACTTCACCATTTACAATGAATGGCATTGTACATGGAGTTAAAATAGGGTCAAACTTTTCATAGTCCTTCCATGTTATGTATTTCTCGGTATTTCCATCAGAAATAACAATATATTTGTCAGTAAGTGTGAGAGAGTATTGACCAAAATATAAACGTTTAGCTCTGTCAGCTTCATACGCATATGCAGCAATACTCATATTTTAATGAGAATAAAATGTTGTTCTATTTGCAAAGTACAGACCCAAACGAATACGGGACAGTAAAGCTACAAACAAACTTAGGTCTTCAGAATGAAGCGCTTGCTTTCAGAGTTGTTGACTTCAATACTATCGCTTCATTCGTTATAACAGATGAAAC